AAGTAATGAAAACTGGATAGAAAAAAATTGTTGATTTAAAATTGAAAATAATTTCACACTTACACAGCTCTGATATATACACACTTGCGGAATGTGTGTACAACAAGGCGTTTCATCCCTGGTGCAAGAGCGCAGCGGCAACGACAATTGAAGACCGAAGCATCAACGTCAAGCAGCAAATCTACGACATATGTACATCTACATATCTACAATTCAAACGACAACGAAGTGTTAGAACAACAACGAAGAGAAAAGGCAACGCCAACGATAACAACGAGCAAACTTCATGCAACGAAGAAGCGGATAGGTACAACGAAAATCATCAAATATCAGCGTAGATTGAGATGAACGAGTATAAACGAAGTAGCTAAAACGAAAATCAGCGAGTTTTGAGTTGCAAAATCAAAACAAAACGAAAAACGTTAAACGATTGAACGAAAAGTAAACAAAGAGTTGTGGCAGCATATTGAAAACGAAATTGTGGTGAATCTACAATAAACAAAAGTTTACGATGCCTAAAGTAAGCGAATTAAAAATTGATCAAATAAAAGTTATACTACGCGAAAAAGGCTTAACTACGTCCGGTACGAGAGCAGAACTAGAACTACGTTTAATACAAGAAATTGGTACTGATGAAATTGAAGCTCCAACGGTTATGAATTCTGGGTGGCAGGAGCAAATTGATGACCTGCGGGGTATGATGGAAACTATTCTCAACATGGTCAAGCAGAACGGGCAGCAAACAAACGACGCAGGTGTAGTGCAGGCGAATACAAATAATCAACGTTCAAACGAAAATGCTAGTCAAGCAACGCAGTCAATTTCTACAAGCGCATATATGGGTGGTTTTCGGTCGATTAAAGAAATTGCAGACATGATTCCGGAATTTGATCCGACCAATAAGCAGTCGCTAACAGTGCAGCAGTTTGTTGATCGTGTTGGTAGTGTTATGAATGCTTATCAGCTCGACGAAAAATGTGTCTTAGTAGCAGTTTATGGTCGATTAAAAGGCGTAGCTCGTATCTGGTTAGATGCACAGCCCAATGTGCACACCAGCTGGAATAATTTCGCTGAAGAATTGAAACATGAATTTTGTGTATCGTACGACGAAGCACAAGTGCATCGTATTATGAGCGAATCTGTACGCAAAACAGGTGAACGTATATCTGACTACTGTTTTAGGGTTTATGCTCTAGGCAAGCGGTTCCAGCTGAGTGAATCTGCTATCATTCAATATACGCGACAGGGGTTTAATCATCGTGATTTCCAAATTGCTATAGCAGCGCAAAGATTCGAAAGTGCTAAGCAAATGCGCGAAATAATTGAAGAGTGGTTAACGAATCGTGTCAATAGCATCGGTGGTAAACAAAATTTTGAAACTCAAGCCAATGTNTGAATCATCGTGATTTACAGATTGCTATAGCAGCGCAAAGATTCGAAAGTGCTAAGCAAATGCGCGAAATAATTGAAGAGTGGTTAACGAATCGTGTCAATAGCATCGGTGGTAAACAAAATTTTTACTCTAGCCAATGTAAAGAACGCACCACGTCAGCAAACAGCTAGTGGTGAAAGCAAAAATATTGTGTGCTACAACTGTGGCGAGGTGGGCCACATATCAAGTAAATGTACAAAAGAGCAGAAGCGGTCAAGATGTGCTGATTGTGGTAAAGTGCATAAACGAGAGGATCCGGTCAATTGTGGTCGTAAGCAGGCTACGCATAATGCACGAAAAGCTGAAGTGACGCAAAATGAGAAATGTTTTGTTAAGAAAATTAACGTCAATGGCAAAATGTTTGAAGCGTTAATCGATACTGGTAGTGAGTGCAGTTTAGTTCGAAAATCAACGGCTGATATGTTGAAAGTCGAACGTGAAGAGTGTTTTACACATTTGAATGGAATAAGCGGAGGCAGGTACACGATGCTAGAGAGGTGTATGTGTGACATCGTAATTGGTGAAGCGAAGGTCAGCACGCTGGTATATATTGTTGCTGATAGCATGCTGCAAACTGAGTTTCTACTGGGTCAAGACATGCTAGCGCGTAAAGGTTTGTTGTTTATGGTGGAGAATGGTGAATCAAAGCTAGAAGCTGAATGTCGTTATGGTGTTGCGTTACCTAATGACGAATGTTTTACGAAATTAACGAATAATGTAAGTAATGAAGATCAACGGTTAAAACTGCAAGCGTTACTGAAAAATTACAACGATATGTTCTCGGACGGATTAAAAGGCATTGGTAAGTCACACTTAATTGAAATGCAAATTGTTTTAAAATCGGAAAAGGTTATTACCCAAGCGCCTTATCGAGTTCCGGCTCCAAAGCGAATGGTAATAACGCAAATGATTAAGAATCTTGAAGAAAACGATATTATAGCAAAATCCTCATCGGAATTCGCAAGCCCTATTGTATTAGCTAAAGAAAGATAGAAGCGATAGACTTTGCGTGGATTACCGTCGTTTAAATTTGATAGTTGA